TGTTGTCACGCTTCTCCCGCCCTGGGGCGTTAGGAACCCATGTGTGTGTTCACGCTTCTCCCGCCCTGGGGCGTTAGGAACCATGTGTGTTCACGTTTCTCCCGCCCTGGGGCGTTAGGAACCCATGTGTGTTCACGCTTGTCCCGCCCTGTGGCGTTAGGAACCCATGTGTGTTCACACTTCTCGGGCCTCCTGGGGCGTCCTGGGGTGCGGGCGAAAGCGAAAAACGCTCCCCGAATACATATCCCAATTCAGAACACGAGTGAAATAAGCATTTGACCTGAGACATCCTCTGAATTCTGGTCCCCAGGAGAGGAACAATATATACTACAAAACAGGCGTTTCGCTCGAATCGCACTGTCTTCCCTAGAGAGGCCTCCAAAGCGCCACCCCCTGTCCAGAGTAAGGAAACATCACTTTTCTATACTGGGATACGTGTTCGGGTACCGCTTTTCGGACCCCCGTGCGTTTCGTGATAACTCGGCGTTGGGCCCGACGCCATGTTAGATACCATCCTGGGCGGCCTGGACATGCAAAAACACGTGGTTCCAGTTCGGGACAATCATGTTAGATACCCCACAAGGTGGCCTAGACAAGTAAAAACACGTGGTGCCAGCTCTGGGCAACCATGTTAGATACACCACTGGGTGGCCTGGACAAGTTAATACACGTGGTTCTTGCTCGGGACTGCCATGTTGGATACCCCCATGGGTGGCCTGGACAGGTAAAAACACGTGGTGCCAGATTTGGGCAATCATGTTAGATACACCCCCTGGATGGCCTGGACATATTGAACAAATGTGGTCCTGGCTCGGGGCAATCATGTTAGATACCCTCCTGGGTGGCCTGGACACGTAAACACACGTCGTTCCAGCTCGGGGCAACCATGTTCGGTACACCCCTGGTGGCCTGGACATGTTGAACAAATGTGGTCCTAGCTCGGGGCAATCATGTTAGATACCTCTCTGGGTGGCCTGGACATGTAACAACGTCGTTCCAGCTCGGGACAAGCAATGTCTTCCCTGGAGAGGCCCCCAAAGCGCCACCCTCTGTGCAGAGCCAAGAAGCATCACTTTTCTGTATTGGGATATGTGTTCGGGTAGCGCTTTTCGGCCCCCCGTGCGTTTCCGGATAATGCGGTGTTGGGCCCGACGCCATGTTAGAGACCACCTTGGGCGGCCTGGACACGTACAAACATATGGTTCCAGTTCGGGCCAATCATGGAACATATATATATATATATAGATATATGGATTCGAACCCCTGCAGAGGGCCAATCTACGGGAAAACACTTGCAAACACACGGATTCGTGCCCCTGACCTACATGTGTCCCGCACCCTTTGTTTAATCGATCGGAATTTCAAAAACCAGCGTTTCGCTCGGGACATCCTCTAATTCCAATTCGCCGGCGCTACGCGACCTCGTTATTTATCAGGGAAAGAATTTACCGGCTCTACAAACATTTGGGCCCGAGCCTTTTCCGGGAAAAACAAACGGCGACGGGCTTGGGAAAGCAGAAACGGACGAACAGAGCGGGTAACAAAGCGGCCCCCGACGTCGTGAGCCCTTCACAGCGTGGCTCCCCAGGGGTCTGGACCCCTTCCCCGGGACCAGTTTTTCATCCCGAGCCGTTTTTTGACGGTCCTGGGGCCGTCAGGGCCCCCGGAGGCCAGGGCCGAAAATGGGCAGAAACCCTCCGTCCTGATTTTCCCGGAGAGGATGTCAGGGTTTCCAGGGCCCACTTGAGGCCACAATGGCACCAGTGCGCGAAGAAGAGCAACCGCCGCAAGTGCTACGAGGACTTCGAGGCCGTCGCGGAGGACCTCATCGCGAGGGGCGTCACGTGCAGGCAGGGTCTCGCCTGCCGCGGCGGGTCCAACGGGGGTCTGCTGATCGGCAACATGCTCACGAGGCGCTCGTGGGAGCTGTTCGGGGCCCTCGTCTGCGAGGTGCCGCTGCTGGACATGAGGAAGTTCCACAAGCTTCTGGCAGGCGGGCGACGGAAAACAACGGGGTCGGTTAAGCGGACATCCCCGCGTAGGCTTCCCGCGTGAGGTCGCGCGTGAGCGCCCTCTTCGCCGCGCGGTGTGTCGCGCCAGCGGCGCGCGTGAGCCGCGGCGGGCGGTTGCTACTTATGCCTTCTCTCCTGGGACCCGTTTCTTTTCCTCGCCCAGGTGCTTCCTGGATGGGCGAGTACGGCGACCCCGACAAGGACTGGGACGACTTCTTGCACGAGTACTCCCCTTATCACAACGTCTCGGACGCGGCAACGTACCCGCCCATCTTCTTTGTCACCTCCACGAAGGACGACCGAGTGCACCCTGGGCACGCGCGCAAGATGGTCGCCAGGATGCTTACACACCCTACAGGGGCTGCAACAACGACCTATTACGAGAACATTGAGGGTGGTCATGGTGGAGCCGCTGACAACAAGCAGCGTGCTTATATGGATACTTTGAAGTACAAGTTTTGCTGGAAGAAGCTCTCTGGCGCGCAGACGTGACCCAGCCGATGCATCGGCATGGTGTCTTCGGGTCTGTGTTGCCCGAGCAAGATTCGACATTGCACGAGATGGTGGTTTTTACCCGACAGAGGGCGATTGCTTCTCGGAAAGTCGAGTTCCGCGGCAGTTCTTGCGGTAAGGCCTGAGGGAAGCTTGCTCGGCCATCAATCCCATGCAGACAAAACTGTTGCCGTCGTCATTGGTTTCTGCATCGACCACTTATGCCGAGGGGATAACGCATCATGTGACAAAGGAGCCTCTGAGTCTTTCTAGGGATGGACAGCACCCAGCCCTCAGATGGCTACACCTTTTCGAGTCGCTGACCTCCGAGCTCTCGACGCTCCCTGCAAGACCGTTTCTTTGGACCCGAGCTGCTTTTGACGGCCCCCGGAAAGGGCCCCCAGGCGCCGAGCATGGCGAAAGCCCCCGCCGTCGCGATTGTGTCGAGTCGCCACGGGGTCCGGGCATCCACGACCGGGCATCCAGGCCCAACCTGGTCCGCCTGTAGGTCGCGGGGTTCAGCGCAAACGGGGCTCAGCGAGAGCGCCGGATCCTGCAGGTCGGGTGTTGCCAGAAGTGCCACTGGACCAAGGTGTCCACAGGGTCTCCAAGGAGGCCCCCACGGCACGAGGCCCAAAGGGCCCCAGGGGCTCCAAAATGGAGCGAAGTGCTGGGGCCACCCCGGGCTAGGAGCGCCTGCAGCAACCCCCGAACAGGATCCTGCAAAGCCGGTTTTCGGCTGAGCCTGACGACGACGACGACGACCTCCTTCCTCGGCCTCCCTCCTTCCATCTCCATCCTCGCCCTCCTCCCCGCTGTCGCTCCTCGCTCCTCGCCCCCGCTCCCCCCCGCTCCCCCCTCCCAGCTCTTCGCTCCTCCGCCCCCACAGAAAGCACCCCCCCTGAGGCCGCCACCGTCTTTTTCGACCCTCTTGGGCCGTCTTCGCCCCCTCGCCCAAACTCAACGCCAAGTTGGAGCAGGGGCTGTCTCAGACCCCCCCTCTCGCCTTTACACATGCTCCGTGGGGTTTCCGGAGACCCTCTGGGGCCGTCTTGGATCCCCGCCCCTCCTCCTCTGCCACGCTCCCCAAGCTCCCCACGTTCCCAAAAAGCGACGACCACCGATCTGTCGCGGCAACACTACCACCACCACCACCACCACCCGCGCCCCTGGAGCCTCTTGCCTACCTCTTACGCCGCCTTCCGAGCCTTTCTGGACCGTCTGGGGTCGCTATGACCCCCCCCCGCAAAGAAACTCTAGGTTCTGGAACACAGTGGGGCGGCGGTGTCTGCCCCTTCAAGGGCGTTCCAATAAAACTGCGCCTGACCCAGGTAGGGGAGGGGAACGGGTGCATGAAGGATTCGTCGTCTCTATGTCGCCGCCGTTGCTGGGGAATCCACCAGATGCCGATACGGATGCTCCCCAGACTTCGCCTGTGTTCTGACCAGGAGTTCGAGGCGAATCCAGCCGTGGCGACGAGGGCCTCCCAGGAGGCTAAGGCGACAGCGATGCAGTGGTAGCGGTATCGGTATCTTTGCCTTCTCTAAGACTCCGTCGTCGCCGTCGGAAGGGGTTCGGGGCTCACGCAACGGGGGTCAGCGCTAACGGGGATCAGCCAATCTCCCAGGTCTGAGAGCCACGTGGGACCGATTCCCCCTGTCTGCCTTCTGCTGATCCAGGTTTGGGAGCTGCTAAACGGCGGCCGGGCTTCGCGACAGGGCCCTGGCCGCCCCGGGTTTGTGCTGATCCAGGTGCGTGCCCGAGGAGAATGGGTGCAAGAATGAGGGACCGCGCCTCAGTCGGTTGCGCGCCGCTGCAGCGGCAGGATATGCGCATGTCACGAGACACCTTTTGGAGCTGGTGGCGACCTGATACGCACCGTCAGCAATGATGAATGATGGATCAGTTGGGCCCCTAAACGGTGCGGTGACCACACCGTGTGGTGAGTCAGTGGGGACTCGGGTGTGACCGCACGGTTTGGGACCTGGGTCGTTCTCCGAGGATGTCTTGGGCGACTGGGGCCTCCAGGGTCCCAAAACCATGCGGTGGCGGACCTTGCCCCAGATCCTCCGTCGTGATCTCCTCGCAACGTGGCCCCCCAGAGGCCTGGACTCTGGACCCCTTCCCTGGGACAAGCTTTTCATCCCGAGTAGTTTTTTGATGGTCCCGGGGCCCGGCGAGGGCCCCCAGAGGCCGAAAGCAGCCAAACACCCTCCGCTGTGATTTTTGTCACGACGTGAGGGGTCTGGGGAATCAGACGTCACCGCACGGTCTGCCGCCGCTCCGCTTCGGGACCCCCCAGGGCGGGGTCTGGGCTGTCAGTCGAGCCGCCCGTGGAAAAGCGACGGTTCATGGACCCACTCCTGCACTACCCGCGCGACCAGGGTGCTGGTGCAAGCTTCAGCGCGCCCCCCTGCCCCTGATTCAATGCTGGTTGACATCACCAGCGGGGCACAGGATGTCGGCCGGCTGGCAGACCGACACATCGCGGCGCATTCCGCCTGTATCGAATAGGGGGCACGGGGGGTGTTCATAAACATTAACAGAAACAGGTACAGGATTCCGCGCACCGTCAGTTTTTCCAGCTAATGCCCAACGTGCAGCGCAGTTGTCGTCGTATCTCCAGGCGCGGGCACAGGCCCCGGGGCCATCATGAGCCGTCGGTGTAATGATCTAGGTCGCCCCCAGGGGCGTGAAGATAATCGCGCTTCGCTGGGCTTGATGCGCGAAGTCAGGTGTATCCCCATGCGCAGGGTCACCTGCCTTTTTTTTCCGTCGCTCATCTGCCTCCGACGCGCCCGTTAGGGCCAGCGGCGCTCCACCTGCACCCCAGCGCCCCGCGGGGCGGCCCCCGCAGTCGCGGCGGGGGCGGCAGCACCCCGAGGGGGCCTCGGCGGGCCGAGCCGCTCCTCCCCACGGCAGCGCCGGCCTCCGCGACTGCGAACGGCAGCGGCGACGGCGACGACGGTCGGGGCTCAGGAGACGGGGGCCAGCCAGAGCGCCGGATCCTGCGGGGCCAGGGGCGCACTGGCCCAGGCTTGGGTGCAGGAGCCTGCAGGGTCCTGCAGGATCTTGCAGGATCCTGCAGAGCCTGACTGGCCCGGGTCTAGATTGACCCGGGTCAAAGGGTCCCCGAGACGGCGACGACGGTGGCGACTCAGATCGGCGGCGCGCCTTCTCAGAAGGCGCGAGTGCTTCTGAGAAGCCGCTCGCCGCCGATAGATCGAAGAAATCACAACTTTCGGCGGTCCGTGCGCATAAATCCGAGAAGTCTGTGCGGACCGTCCAGAGTTTGTTTACGCGGTCCTGTCTGTTCCTCAGTTAGAGGAGGAGACGGTACCAATACCACAACCCTTACATCGTTCTCTCCTTTTTGGGTCTCCTGGGAGGGCTTTGTCGCCACGGCTGGGTTCGCCTCGAGCTCCTGGTCAGAAGAGGCACCCCAGGGGAGACCTTGGGAGTAGGTGTCTTTTGGTTCCCCCAGCGACGAAGAATGTATCTTGGCGTCGTCGAGCGCCGGTCGTCGGTCGTCGGTCGTCGTCGGCCGTCCGCCTTCGGTCGTTCGGCCGCCGGTCGTCGCCAGTCGTCGGTCGTCGGTCCTTGCTGCCGCCGCCGCCGTCGCCGCCACCGCGCACATGGCAATGATACCCGTGCGTCGTCGTCGTCGTCGTCGTCGTCGTCCTCGTCCTCGTCCTCGTCCTCGTCCTCGTCCTCGTCGTCGCCGCCGCCGCTGCCGCCTTTCGTCGTGCGTCGTGCCGTCGCCGCCGTCGCGCGCTCCGCACCGCGCGCGCCAGGCCGAGGACCCCTCCTCGCCGCCCACGTCGACGGTGGCGTGCCGCCCGCCGCCGCTGGCTCCTCCCGCCTGGGGTGGCCCCTCGGGGGGCGCCCGGGGCTCTAGACATCCGACGTCGTGGTTTTGTCACTCAGCCACGCGCAGAGGGGGTGCTGCTGTGTGATATCCGACGGAAGGTCTGTGCCACTTCTCGGTCCCTGCATGCCCTCGCCGCCCCCTTGCACCGTCATCGGACGACTCGGGATGAAAAGCCGGCCCCAGGGAAGGGGTCCAGGCCTTTTCGGTCGCGCGCAGAGGGGGGAGGGGGAGGGCGGAAGGCTTCTTTGGAACACCCTGCCTCTTAGAAGGCGCGGACCGTATCTATAGATGTAAGGCCCGCGTCTTCTGAGAAGCAGCCTCCTCCTTAGAAGCCTTCCCCCCTCCCTCTACCCCCTCGTGCGCGCCGCCAAGTCATGCTCTGTCTCCCCAGAGTTCTGGACCCCCTCCCCGGGACCGGCTTTTCGTCTTGGGTCGTTCTTCGACGGTCCCAGGGCCCAGTAAGGTCCCCCCAGAACATCCTCGGATGTCAGGATTCGTTTGGTTATTGGGCCATACTTCGGCTCTACTGGGTCCGTTCGGGACGATTCTGGCATTCCCAGAAAGTCCTCGACGAGGCGCATCTGATGGAAACCGCTCTAGGTCAAAAACACCGCTCGAGGTTTCAAACACTTTTCGAAAGGAGGAGGATGAGGATGAGGATGAGGACGAGGACAAGGGTGAGGATTAGGATGAGGATGATGTTGAATGTGAGGATGACGATGGTGATGATGATGCTGATGCTGCTGATGATGCTGTTTATGATGATGATGCTGATGACGATGGTGATGGTGATGGTGAGGATGATGATGATGCTGATCCTGATGAGCATGATGCTGCTGATGGTGATGCTGATAATCATGATGATAATGATGATGTTTATGATGATGATGATGATGATGATGATGATGATGATGATGATGATGATGATGATGATGATGATGATGTCGATGCTGATGATGCTGATGCTGATGCTGATGCTGATTCTGCTGCTGATGATGATGCTGATGATGGTGATGAGGATGACGATGATGATGAGGAGGATGATGGTGATGGTGATGGTGATGATGCTGATGATGCTGATGACGATGATGGTGATGATGATTTTGATGACGATGATAATGATGA